GTCACTTTTGTTGCTTTCACACGACATTCTTTTATATACCTTTATAATTTATAATCATAATTTCGTCCCAAAAACTTCAAAATAGTCACAATATTATCTCTCTCACGACTCTCCACAATGGTATGATATTGTCCACTTTGAGTATAAGCTCCTACTTTGGGTTGTCCCACCACATCTCGTACCTGTTGGGTGATGAAAGTCCCACATCGGCTAATTTAGGGAATGATCGAGAAGCCCAAAGCAAAGTCATGAGAGCTTATGCTCAAAGTGAACACTCTCCATTGGTATGAGGCCTTTCAGGGAATCCCAAAGCAATATCATACCATTATGGAGAGTCGTGTTCGTCTAACAGTACCAATTAAGATAGTATTCCTTGATTATAAACCCATGATCATTCCCTAAATTAGCGGATGTGACTTTCATCCAACAACAATAACGGTTCGAAATAAATTAAAAAATCTAGACTTTTCCAAATACCCATAAGATACGTACTTCAAACTAGGAGGAAAGCTTTCGGTTTTTAACTTAAAACGACATCTCTCCTAGTACAATAACTTGTTTCCTAGATACGTACTTAAGATATTTACCTTCTTTTTCAACCACATATCATAGTGTATAAATTGAACTTTGGATTATAATTCGTCCGTTGCTTGTTATTATAAGATCTCACGTCATCGCTCTAGCATACACGTTTTAAAACCGTGAGGTTGACACCGATACGTAACGAACGAATACGAATAATATCTACTAGTAGTGGGTTTCGGCTGTTACAGTTATTATTATTATTATTATTTTCATGCATGCGACTAAAATATGTGTCGCGATTTAATGTTCGTTGGTTGGAGGAATATGCATTTATATGGTTTAGGGTTGATATATTTTTGGTATGTCCATTAATAAAGCTCTTGGAGTCATGATGGCGCAGTTGTTTTTGACTATGTAGGCAGGTGCACACTTAAAATGGAGGCAATCTTTATTGAAACTTCAAATTACACCATCACCTTATTATTATTATTATATTGTTAAATCATGACGACATTTCAGCTTAAAATTAGAATTAACAACCTTAATTTAATAGAATATATATATATATATATATACACGAACTAAAACAGATAAGAGAGTCATATGTAAATATTCGTCGAAGAAGGTAAATTGCTCGTGTGAAAAAAAATTATCTTGCAGGTAGCATTTTTCGTATATAATTTCATTATTTAATCAATTAATGTCTAAGTGGTTTGCCAAATTATCGTTGACACTCTGAAAACGTCTCGGTACATAGTAAAACCATTATTTTTAGTTTATCTCCTAAGTTCAACGAACGTTATTAAATAATTTATTTCATTAGACATTTGTCAAAACTTATAAACTTCTAAAGAAACAAATATTGAAAGTGAAGTGTTTTTTACGTTTACACCGTGTTCTCTCATATACTAATAAATAATTAAACTCGAATAATTCTACGTCTTTGCTAGGTCAAGGACGGACCCTAATGAACATATATATGTAGCAAATTAAATAAACATGAACTATAAAATATAAGCTTCAGTATCGTTCGTTTATACGATCATACGACCAATTTTCTGACCTTCAAAATATATAAAAACGAGTAAATAACATTGTAGTAATTACGTATACGTCGAAGGATCAAGATAATATATATATATATATAAAAAGATGTGAAATGAATTGTAAGAAAGCACAGCTATAGGACTTGTTCTTATATGTTGACGTGTTATCCGACAAATGGCTGAAGTAACCCATAAGAATTAATTACTTATGTATTTAAATTTGCTTTTTTTATTTATTTTTTATTTTTTTCTGTTAAGAGTAAGCAACATTACAAGTATTAATTAATTCAAAAAAAAATAAACGAAATTATAATAAAGTTTCTTACTTAAATTTTAAATAGTTTATTTGATTTATATATTTTATGGTCAATATGAACACAGCTCAACCGATAGTTCACAAATATTCATTCTTTTATGGTCGTAGATTTGAATCGGCACACTCCAAGTTTGTTGATATATATATATATATATATATATATATAGGTATAAACACGTTAGATAAAGTGGTTGGTTAGTATTGTCTGGTTGATTACGATATATATTGTCAAATAAAATGTGTAAAGATTTGAATTGTTCTAATCTCGTGTTTTATTGAACGTTAGTTAATAGGAGATTAGATATCGAAATTAAGTTAATTAATTTGTGTGGGAGATAGTGACAATGTAGCTACTCGGGAGGGTTTTGCTTTTAAAAGAGATTTAAGTTGACATTATTTGGGTTGGATCGGGTCGGGTTGTGATAATTATTATCTAAAGATAAAAAATATGTAATAACCCACATTTTATTGTATGAAACATACTGTTGTTACATGAATGTATGATCCGACCGTTAGCAGACAGTAGTTCGAACGTAACAATAAAAATTATGAAAATTAACTTAAACACGTAGCATACTAAACTAATGGTTCGACTGTGGAAATTAAAGACAATCCCAGCTTAAAAATGGAAATCGCAAACTAACTTAAATGCGGAAAGAAGAATATCAAGAAACAACATCCATTTATGGCTTCCACAACAGAAGTCGTCATCCAACCGATGATTCTTTGTCTTTGCATAAAAAAAAATTATTATTTAAAAATACTCGATAAGTAATCTCGTATTATTAGGATTGAAAAATTCATTCACATACATGTATCGTGACTATGGAACCTAAATTCATTATTGTCCTTCAATTCTACGTACGTTTTCAGATATGATTAAATGTATAGTATTTTTCTACGCATGGTTCATGCACGTGTATAACAGTTCACTAAACAGGCTCGTTAATATACCTTCTAGACATGTATGAGCTATCGCACATTCATCCGAGCTTAGGTTTTAGGTATTCCAACAGTAAATGATGCTGGAAAATGTTAGATATTTATACAACAACCTCAAATTAAAAGGTCCAACGGCCAAATCAAGAAACCTGTCAACTACCAACTAACTAACTAACAGTTGCAAGTTTCAAACCAAAAAAAAAAAATCATCACGACCATGTCCCAAAACAGAACATAAAGGTGTATATATATATATATATATATAGTCGTAAGGCGTAATATTACTCATCAAGATGTCGTTTGTTCTGTTTCCAACTCTGCCTCCTATTTCAATACTAATTATTTTGGAAAACTCAATCATTGTCTCAATTTCCCAATGACTTCGTTTTTTAAAAAAAAAATCAATGCAACAACTTTATCAAGCTCAATCGAGATATTGATTCAGTGATTCGAGATGAGTGAGAAACTCAATGTAATAGCCTAAGTCCACCGCCCGTAGATATCATTTAGTTTAACTCGTTATGTATAGCCGTCAGCCTCAAGATTTTAAAGCGTATGTACTAGTGAGAGTTTTTCACACATTTGTAATAAATGTTTCGTTTCCCGACATGGGATCGGATGGAATCCGAGAGATATTTAATACTAGAGATTCACCCGAGAAAATATTGAGTGGAGCAAACAAAGAGTGCTTTTATATCCACAAATTTTACCAACAAGTGCCTTCATTTCACACCACAAACATTCCCAAAATATCCTTTTTTTTCTTTTTTTTTTTAATTTCTCCAAATTTCTTAAAACCCTAATTTCAAACTTCCCAAAAAAAAAGGAAAAAAAAAAAAAGAATCGCTTCGGTTTCCTCCATTCATAAAACGAACATAACAGCTCTCCCTGTTGCCCTAAAAGCTTTATCCATCTCCAATGGCGCTCGACAACTGTATACAACTGAGCACCGCCGCCGCCATGTATGGCACCACTTCCATCCCCAAATCTCACCCATTCTCATCCACTTTCCACCAAAAGCCAACTCTCTCCCTTCAACGCCTCAACAAATTCCCCACTTCCACTGCGCGATTCAAGTCCTTCTCTCCTTCCACCTCCGTCTCCACTTTCGGAAAGTCCCGCTCCGTCACCTGTAAAGCTCGCGGCGCCGTTGACGACGGTTAGTCACCCGATCTAATCTTCTCGGTATAAAAATTTTTGTTTACACAATCGAACATTCTCGTTTCTCCGCCTTCTAGGGTTTAGAAATTCGACTCTGTTTTTCTCGTAAATTGCAGTGAAAGAGGTTACAGAGTCGAGCTGGAATGAGTTGGTGGTGGAGAGTGAAAAGACGGTGCTGGTGGAATTTTGGGCGCCGTGGTGTGGACCGTGCAAGATGATTGAGCCAGTGATTAGGGAATTGGCGCAGGATTATGCAGGGAAAATCGTGTGTTTGAAGCTCAATACAGACGCCAGCCCAAATGTAGCCTCGAAATATGGGATTAGAAGCATTCCCACAGTTCTGTTCTTCAAGAATGGACAGAAGAGAGAGGGCGTCATTGGGGCTGTACCCAAATCCACCTTGTCCGCCTCCATTGATAAGTATCTCGAGGTTTGAAGAAATCCCATTCATTAGAGATGGTTTTCGAATCTTCTTCTTCCTCTTCTTGTTGTTGTTCATCTTGTATATGAATATCATCATCATGTTGTGTAAAAATTGGAAAACTCATAACCGTTTCATCAAGAATCTCTTCTTTAATTCTCTGTTGTAGTAGCGATGACTTGTTTGAGTTTGTGAATTTGTAACTTCTGTGCCCATTTTTTTCTTTCTTGGCGGAAATCTATTACCTGTTTATAGAATTGAGAAGAATCTGTGAAGAAGATAGAGCTAGTGGCCAAGATATGAGAACATTGCAGGGACCAAGTTGCTGAAGCTAAAAGAAAGTTAATGAAATTTTCTCTAATAATCATCAATGATCAAATTCAAGTTAAAATTTTGTTTATTTATCTCTTAAACTAAAAGAATATGTTAAAATTCTACAAAATTCATTGAAAATAACTTGAAAAAGCATAACAATTCATTACCTAAATTGAAGCTTTCCTTCACTTGGCCACTCAACTCAGGCAACCCATTTTTGGAATTCTTTCAAATGAACAAAATCCTTGAAGAATCGTGACAAAACCCAAAATGCTATGAAGAAATTAAATGATGAAAACTAATAATAAAAAAAGAAGGATACATTAGTGGGAAAACTATAGAAATAGACAGATTACATTTGAGAAATCACAGAAAACCTGCCCCTATTCACCATCCCCTGCCATCAGACTTTCCTTTTTCGTATAATATAAAAGCATATATATTGGTACAAAGTGTGAATCATTATGTCCCGCACCTGTGTTTGCCATTCTGTGCCTGCCTTTCTCTTGCAGGGCCATCGGCCACAAACTCTCACAATTGGAATGAATGCTGCAGAAGCAGCAGCTGAGATCATCAAGGCACCGATCCCTGTATGTCGATTCGTATATATAGCTTGCTTTTCTTCATGGGAATGGCTTCCAGTCGTATTGGAGATTACTTAAGCCGTTTACAGCTCCAAGTCCGCTTAGAAGGTGGTTTCCCAAATCCTGCTGTTGACCGTTCATGCTTTGTTCTAGAGCGAGCGACGCCATTCCTATTCGTCTGTTCATAATGGAGTTGTTTCCCATTGCATTTCTCATTCCATTAACCATGGCAGGCTGCCCAAGCCCACTCCCCATTGATCCATATCCACCTCCCATGCCTAAGCCACCGTTGGTTGTTCCGTTTCCCCCTATACAATTCCCCCCATTGTTGAGACCTGTATTGCCTGTAGGTAAGATCCCATTCACATTTTTCATATCATTGACCACCGAACCCATGCCAACCAGACTAGATGAGCCATTCATTTGATTGTTCATCATCATCTCTTGTAAGATCTTTTGTACGGAGGACTGTGTATCACTAGGATCAGCATCCCCAGATAAAGCAGATTGTTGCATAGAGATGTTTGCCGGAGAATTAGCAGTACTCATCTGATTGGAACTCTTTGCAGCTGTATGCGGTGGTTGCGAAGGATTGTTGGATGACGAGGGAGTTGGCGGCTGGAATGTAGAAGGGTTTGGTTGTGTAGGTGGAATCGTACTGGATGAACCCGGGGACGGAATCTGAACAGAACTTCCCCCATTTGAGTTACTAGGTTTAGCCATAGTGTTCTGCTGTCTGGAGTTCATAGAATTCTGGTGAAGAAGCCCGACAATGGTGCTTGCTGAGTTTGATGTCGAAGGTTGGTTGGCGTTGCTATTTACACTGGTCACACCATTGCTAGCTGAAATCTGCACTGCAGAAGCCTGAACAAAACTCTGATTATTATTTGGGCGCTGGGCTATGGATGATTGTTGTTGTTGCTGCTGCTGCTGCTCATCAGAACCTTGAGCTTGTGTTGTAAGCCCCGATGACGAACTAGACCTCCGAGGAAACTTGGCTAGACTATCTGGTTGATAATAAAAGAAGATAGATTCAATAATCTAAAGAAGAACTTGTTCTTTTAACACATTGACCATTTCTTATTAGAAAAATATATGATCTAAACAAAAGTGAGATCATTCGATCATTCACAGAGACCACAATCAGATGACAGTTGGAAAAATATCTGCTAATGATCCATAGCACATAAATATCAACAACAAACATATAATCTTTTCCAACTTTTTAGCTTTTATCTTGTTTCTGAAGCAAAACAGAGGACATAACCCACAGAAACTATACAAACTACGGTTAGGAAGCTTCAGATCCGTCCCCCTCCAAATCTCTCCCTCAATTAGATATGAAGGAGCCCTTGCATAACTTCAACAAAAGCTTCCTTTAATTCTCCATCATACCCTCAAGTTATCCCTTAATTATTTGACCAACGATCTAAAGTCACAACATAAAGCACCACAGGTTCAGACTTTAAATCAAAACACTAGAAGGACCACTAGACGGTCACTTGATCCTAAGAATTTGGCAGTAAAAACTGAATAGTGCATTTAATATTCTAAGAAAGGCATTATTATTTTGAACCTATGATCATAAAAGCGGTCTAGTTTCACAACTTGTTTCAATGATCATTAAGCCAACCCAGACTACTAAAATATGCTTCTTGCGCTAGAAAACTGTTTGTCATCTGTGGTAGCTTTTGCAGCAAAAACTGCAGTGTATTTAATATTCTAAGATAGGTATTATTGTTTTGAACCTAGAACCTCAAAGAGGTCTAGCTTTACAAATTGTTTCATTGATCGGTTGGCCAACCCAGGATAATTAAATATGCTTCTTGAGTTAGTAAACTGTTAGTATTGTGTGTGGCGTGCAGGCACGCGTAATAGATTATTAACGCAGCCTCCAAACTGCCCTTGAAAAGCTGCCAAAAGCTCATAAAACAATAGCATCAACAAGATCCTACTTACCCATTGGACCGATCCCTGTTTCTTTGCTGTAATCAATCAAGTCCTTCATGCTATTAACCACTTCGGATATCTGAAGAGCCAAAAGAAAAGCCACAAGGGGGAAAAGGTCAAAAAGTAAATATAAACATGTAAAAATGCTCCAGTTTTAGAGCGAGAGAAATGAATGACTGAAACACATCGATGAATCAATAGGTTACACTATATTCAATAAGCCATAAACAATTGAACATGAAAAGAAAAATATTCAAGAATGTATTCCAAAACTGAACACTACTGTACTTCAAATACAGAACCATCAACGCACAATCAATCAGATTTAACAAATATAGCAAATTCATACGCAGATGTGATATTATCACAAATTGGGTAACTAGTTCATATAATATAATAAAATTTAAATAATACTCCAACATAAACCAAAAGCACTTGTGATTTTCATGATCCATCCAAGAATTTAATTATTTGGACTTCAAAAGGCTGGCAAAAAAACGGGCTTCTGATATATGTGGAAAAAGAAATGGCTACTGGAGTTAAAAGATGAAGGTAAGGGAGTTTCATCTTCTGTAGAAGAATATCGAGTTATATAGGCAGGAGCATAGCACAATATTTGGATTGCAGAACAAGGTTAGAATGTTAACTAGGTGAATCCACAATGCCAGTGAAACTATGAAATTTAACCGTAAATACGTGGTTGAACCTTATGAGAAATTATGTTTAAGATCAACAAACCTAAGGAAACAAACCATTTAAAAGAAGGCACCCAATGTTAAACAATATGAGTTTTTAATCTCGCTGCCAAGGTAACTCGTGGAATATCACATCTTACTTAAGTAGGAGGCTACCAAGGCTTAAACTCATTCCCTCTAAGCCCTTTATTATTACATGGCCCTTCTTAACCACCATGGAAAATAATATTCAACTACGATGAAGTTATATTTACAAAAATATTACCCATCTAAAATACAATGAAGTCCAAATAATGGTAGGTAAACAAATTAATTATATGTCAAACATCTTCAATGCCCCAAGACTATAAAAAGTCAACCCAAACCTATATTCATAGGCAAAGAACCCTCATTTTTTAAGGACATGGAATAAATACCATGTCTATTAAAATAAAATTGATATTCATCTTTGACTTTTTTGACTCGTAATGACCACAAATTGATGTGAGTTATTTATTACCTGAAGACAACGTACATATCTCTTTGTATATCCCAAGTCATTTACCAGCGGAACTTCCAAGGCTTTAGCTAATTGTCGCGCTGAAGCCACAAACCTATGTGCAATTCATTAAGGGCTTCAATGAACTTCCAAAACATAATTAACTTCAAAACAAAGCACGTAAAAGTTGGTGTAAACCAATTGATATACTTCATGTATAAGAACGTGAATACTTGGTGTGTAGTTTACATATAACATCTCAGAGTCCGACCTTCTAAAGAGGACAGCATACACTACTATATAAGGCCGTTCATCTTATAGGTCTACCTAATATAAAAATCATGTCTTATTACATACAATTCTTTACAAACAAGGAATGAATGCCAAATAATTCCATTCTCACCGGTGAATGAATGATCAAAATAATTTGAGAATCACAACGCAAAAAAATTAGAAGACAAAGCAAAGGCCCTATAGAATTAGTAGTTGACAAGGAGTGAACTAAAAAAATTATGTTTACGGAAAAGACAAAGCAAAGGCCCTATAGAATTAGTAGTTGACAAGGAGTGAACTAAAAAAATTATGTTTACGGAAAAGACAAAGCAAATGCCTTATAGAATTAGAAGAAACAAATCATGATTCTAATGGATAGAATCAGAAGAAACAAATCATGATTCTAATGGAAACCACTGGCAACAAGCTATCCCTCATCGCAAAAGCAACACGTAAAAGCCCAAGGTCAGAAGAGTGAAAGAATGGCCTGAGAACATATTCATATTTCAGGATGCTATCAAAGAGTAAGCAAATCACACTAAAACTTTACACACAGGAAGAAGCAAACAGACAAAGTATTTGTCTAAAGAAACACACATGTTAAGAAGGACGTACATGTTACAATTATTTTGCAATTCAGGAGTTGATAAATTGGATGATGCGCTTTGAATGGCAGACTGGTACTTCTGAGCTGCTGCCCCAAGATGACTAACCTGCATTAAGACAGTAATAACTGTCAGTCACAAATTGACAGGCTATAATAGTGATTATTATAGATAACGTTACAAATAACCGGGTCAATTAATGTGGGATACTGTTTTTTTTTTTTTTTT